TGTTATAAGAAAATTCAGCCATAGGTAACCATGTGGTCCAGTCATCTTGTAGGTATGAACAATAACATTGCAGATACTGTTCCAAGCATTGATTGACCCTCTCCGTTTGCCCATTAGTTTGAGGATGATAGGCGGATGAGAGTTTGCGTTGAATTTGAAGGGAGGAACACATCTCTTTCCAGAATTTGGAGGTAAACTGTGTCCCTCTATCTGAAATAATTTCTTCAGGAAGTCCATGAAGCTTTACAATATTATCGATAAAGACTTTAGATAATTCTGCTGAGGAGGGCAATTTTCTTAAAGGGATGAAATGGGACATTTTAGTGAGGCGGTCTACAACGACAAGGATAGTGGTGAAATGTTGAGATGGTGGGAGATCCACTAAAAAATCCATAGAAATGGATTGCCAAGGTTTTTCTGGAATGGGTAAGTTAAGTAGTAATCCAAAAGGTTGATGATGTTCAGGTTTGGACCTCTGACAGATAGAGCAAGTCTTGACATAGGATTCAATAGTTTTATCATGGCGGGGCCACCAATAATATCGTGAAGTTAATTCAGGAGTCTTCTTAATTCCAGGATGTCCAGCTAAGGGAGAATCATGAACCATTTTAAGTAATTTATTCCTAATTATGGGAGGAATGTAAATTCTATCCTTAAAATAAAATATGCCATCCTTTTTTGTTAACATAGGTGAATTGGGATGTTCAAGATCTTTTTCATTCAAATTCTTTATGTCATCATATAGAGAAGAAATAATTCCAATTGTTTTGTTAGGAGGGTAATCATCTACAGCAGTTTTATGAGGAATTCTAGAAAGAGCGTCTGCCTTTTTATTTCTAGTTCCAGGTCTGTATACTAATTGGAAGTTAAATCGGTTAAAAAAAAGATTCCATCTAACTTGTCTAGCTGAAAGGGTCTTATTAGTATAGAGATATTCAAGATTTTTGTGATCTGTATAAACCACTATGGGGTGTTTTGTATCTTCAAGGAGATGACGCCAATTCTCAAAAGCAGCTTTAACACTTAACAATTCTTTTTCACCAATAGGATAATTTTTTTCAGCGGAGCTCAAAGATCGTGAAAAAAAAGCAACTGGATGGAGCGGATCCTGAGGTGTTTTTTGTTGAGAAAGCACTGCTCCGATAGCTGTATCTGATGCATCTACTTCAAGAACATTTAAGAATGTTGGATTAGGCAGTTGAAGAATGGGGGCAGTTGTAAATCTTCTTTTTAATTCGTTGAAGGCTGTTTGTGCATTTTCATTCCAATTAAAAGAACGCTTATTGCTGTTAAGGAGATTAAGTGGATGAGATATATCTGAGTAATTTCTAATAAATTTTCTATAGAAATTTGCAAATCCAAGTAATCGTTGTAACTCTTTTGTACTAGTAGGGACGGGCCAGTTAATGATACACTCAATTTTGGAATTATCCATCTTCAGGGAATGAGGTGAAATAATATAGCCTAGAAAAGAGAATTCAGTAACTTCAAAAAGGCATTTCTCGGGTTTAGCGTATAATTTGTGTGTTCTCAATCTAGATAGAACCCATCTTACATGCTTCCTATGTTCGTCCAGATTGTTGGAATATATTAAGATATCATCTAAGTAGATAATAACACATACATCCAATAGATCTCTGAAGATATCATTTATAAAATGTTGAAATATTGCGTGGGCATTACAGAGCCCAAAAGGCATCACAAGATATTCGTAGAGACCATATCTTGTCCGGATGGCTGTCTTCCATTCATCATCCTGTTTTATTCTAATAAGGTTGTATGCGCCACGGAGGTCTAATTTAGTGAATATAGTTGCGGTTCTCAACCTTTCAATTAATTCATTTATTAGAGGAAGAGGATAACGATTTTTAATCGTTATTTTGTTTAAGGCTCTGTAATCTATAATGGGACGAATGGTTTGGTCCTTATTTCTCACAAAGAAAATAGTAGAAGCAGCTGGGGAGGTTGAAGGTCTGATGAACCCTTTACGTAGATTTTCATTGAGGTATTCTTTTAAGGTTTCTAATTCTTTTTCAGAGAGTGGATAAATATGGCCTTAAGGAATAGGAGCTCCGGGTATGAGATCTATTGGGCAGTCATATACCTAATGAGGTGAAGTGTTTCGGCTTCCTTTTTACAAAAGACATCTGCGAAATCGGAGTAGAATGAAGGTATAATTGGTTCTTTAGTAATTTGGAGAATGGGAATATGTTGTAAGCATGTTCTTTTACAGAAGAGGTAAAAGAAATGGTGGAAGGAGACCATTTAATTAACGGATTATGGATTTTTAACCAATTAATCCCTAGAATGACTGGATAAAGTGGAGATTTAATAACATCAAAGATAAGGAATTCGGAATGAACGTTGTTGGTAATCATTCTTAGAGGAATTGTCTCATTTTTTATGGGACCTGAGGATATATATGAGCCATCAATAACTCTGACTGGAACAAAATTAGTTTTACGAACACAAGGGATTTTATTTTTTGTTACAAAGGAAAAATCAAGAAAGGCTCCATTAGCGCCAGAATCGATAATGGCCTCAGTCATAATTCTTTTTGTGTCCCACTGTAATATGAGAGATATAGAAAAATAAGTAGATTTTTTTTTGGTAGGACGTTTAATATAGAAGTAGATGAATGATGCTTACCACATTTTGAATGTTTTAGAAGAGGACATTCAGGAATTAGATGTTCTTTTGAGGCACAATACATACATAGGTTTAAATGTCTCCTTCTTGTTCTTTCTTCAGAAGTAAGGGGACTTCTTATTATACCTACTTCCATAGGTTCAGTTTGAGTAGGAATTTTTTCAGGCAATTTTGGAGGAGTGAAGGGTTTTCTCCAAGTAGAATTAGTGAGAACTTTTTCAGCCCTTCTTTCTCTTAGACGTCTATCAATACTAATGGAAA